TCTACCATTTTATAATTAAAATTTAAATAAAAATATTATAATTATTTATTTATTATTAATATATTAAATTATATAAATAATATATATTTATTTTTCATAATAAAATATAAATTATATAATATTATATAATTTTCAAATTCATATTATTTATTCTAAATTTAATTTAATATTTTTAAGATTATAAATTTATATTTTAATTTTATAATTTAATTTATACATATATATAAATAAAATAAATTTAAATATCCCGAATTATAAATCTAAATTTAATAATATTTTAATTTAATATTCGAAATATATGAATTATTCAAAATTCCTTATTTAAAATTTACGTAGGAATTTCCGATTATTTATATTTCCAAGGTTCTGGTTATGTTGCAATAATTTCAAATAATTAGCTTACGCATTTCCTATGGCAAAACAACATTGGGAATATGTAACGATTCTGATATATAAATGTGGGGAAAGTCAAAAGCCTTGGCTGAAGGCTAATCTGAGGGGATGGGGATGCGGGGCTTTGCAACCGGGGATAAAAAGGAGATTTCTCATACTAGGTACAAGAACCTGCAAGTTGCCGCAGCCGGGCGAGCGAAGAAACAAGCGACCTTGGCAGAGAAAAATCATCTCTAGTGCAACCTGCTGCCAAGGGGAGGCCAGCAGGTTGGGGGGAGTGTGAAAGGATGTGCACAGCCCTTAAGGTGCACGCGTCACATGGGTAGAGCCGCCTTGAGTAGTGGCTGTGCTCACTTGTATGGGTGGGTAGAGAAAACCTAAGCGTAGATTCACTTGAAAAGGATTGCAAAGGAACCACGATGGGCCAGGGGTCAGTGAATGCAACCTTCGCTTACGACTAGCTTACGGATTGCTTACGCCGAGCTTACGGCAAATTCCGATCTCATAAAAAAACTAGGGCCGTGAATAAAGTAGCATTCGTTCTGGTCTGCTTTCCCTACATGCAATGGCATCATCATCATCATCAACAACAACATCATCAACAACATTCAATAACATGCACCAAACAAAGCACACAAGCTTATTTAAACCCCAGCTCTCATGGCCCGACATCGACTTCCGAATGGCTTACGGCAACATGTTTGTGACCAATGCTTACGTCAAACCTTTCGCACTGCTTACGAAACCCAAGGAAAGTCTTACGGCTTGATGGAATTTATTTCCTGCCCAATACTAAACAAGTAAAGGGGAATTTAGAACGCTGCGCATATATATATATATATATCCAAATTTATCCAATAACTTTGCGGTATTCTAAACTTCAATCCGCCGCTATAACATATCTAAATTATCATTGTCCATTCTAAATCATTCCTTAAATTTCCATAAATTTCCATATTCCTATTTTATTATATTTCATTTATGCATTTTTCATTTCGAGATTCATGATTTCGCGACCTGTCAATTCACAGTTGCTGATTCCATTTCCACCCATAAATGCTCCCAATTTCAAGATAATTATATAGGTCACTGACGGTGGAATTGATCCATGACCCCGCCTCTCTGAAGCTTGTGGTGGAGGGCGGCCACTGGAAATCCAGAAAGGCCATCTCGCTACCTGTGCGTGTTCAATACATAGATCTCGCATGAATTTGACAAGATCTTGGAATTGCCAGCGTAGAGTATCCATGAATACCCCTCGATTTCAAGCTTTCAAGCATTTTTCGGATTTGGGGATGGTCCGAATGTCCCCTCCTCTATTTTCCAACTTCTATGAACTAATTACTATGCTGATTTCTTCGGCC